AATAACTTTCCTATTGCAAAACGGAGATTTCTTCTTGCAATTGCAATGACAAGAAATGGGGGTGTGAAAGAGGGGAGGAGGTGGAGCGATGATACATACCTCTGAGCCTATTTCCACAGACTCATCTTTCCGTTTATCTTTGCACGGATACTTCAGTTTTAAATAGTACAGTTGTGAAATCCCATGGATTTATAACACGTCTCGCTAACACAGAATTAACATTCCCCAGTGCGGTTGCTCCTCGTAAGCTGCACGACCCCCGAATCGGTACCCGCGGGAAGACTTCCCTCGGGAAGCTAAAGCCCGCAGGTAGGACACGCCCCCAACCCAGGGCACCGGGAGGCACGCCCACTCGAGGCGCACGCGCCGCCGGGAGGCTGGGATTGGTCGGCGCCTCGGAGGGGGTGTGTCACGTCACTTCCGCGTGTGGAGGATGAACTTGGTGGATTATGATCTTTGCAGCCGCCAGGTAGGGGCTGCGGAGGAAGGGGCTTCTGTGTCGCGGGCCACCGGGGCTGCCCAAAGCTGACGCGGGCGGGCATAAACTGGGGGGTATTTCCGGCCCTAGGGAGGGAAGGGGGCGTAGCGGCCCAGGGGGGTCTGCCCGCGCGTCCTAGGACTGACTTCCGGCTGCTCGGGGCGCCCTTCACTCGCCGGCTCAGCGTGGATGCCCCTGAAGAACTGAGAGGCAGCCCGGATCTTTGTGGAGACCCGGCGGGCGGGGTGGATCTGTGTAGAGATCTGACGGGCGATCCTGATCTGTGTGGAGACCCGACAGGCGGGGTGGATCTGTAGAGATCCGACAGGTGGTCCGGATCTGTGTGGAGACCCGACAGGCGGTCCGCATCTGTGTGGAGATCTGATAGGCGGGGTGGATCTTGCGTAGGGATCGTATGGGATGCCAGGGATCGAACCCTGGTCGGTCTCAAGCAAGGCAAGAGCCTTACCCGTTGAACTATGCCCCAACCCTAAGGCTGATTTTTTTTTTTTTGTGAAAGGACTTTCAGATTAGGAGTTGACTGAGTGGCTTTAAGGAAAGCCGTTGAATTTATGGATAAACACAAATTGGGTTTTGCTGGCTTGATCTTTACAGAGAGGACCACCTAATCTGTTTATTTCCCCCCCACCACCCCCCTTTGCAACATTTAAAGCATCTTTGGGATCCTGAGTTTTACTCCAGTACCCTGGCTAGTGAAGTAGATGGGGAATTTTTTCTTTTCTACCATTGGAAAAGGGTCTTTGTTATAATTTTGTTTCTGGGTTGCAGATTAATAGGAATTTTGGTCAAAACATTGAGAGAACAGTTTGTGTTAATACATGGCACCAACAGTGTTTTTTAGCCAAGGCAGAAGTATTGTTTCACTTTCAGTTTTATTGATGAAGAAACCGAGACTTGGAAAGTAAAAGGACATGTCCAAAGTTGGGAAATCTGAGAGAGGACTAAAACAGAGTTAAAGGGCGTGTTGTGGAGAAAACAGAATGTGCCATAAGCATGATGCTGGAGAACAGCACACTGAAGGGGCAATTTCTCAAGGAGGGGTGTCATTTCCTACTGTGAAGGAAGGGGAGTTGTCTTAAAGACAAGGGCCTGTTTCTGTATACAGGTATCTTGGGAAAAGGTCAGCTTAGCTGGAATGAGGTTCTGTAGGTTTTGGCATTATAGTTGAAACCTTGCTGCCTGAAGTAATGAGTTGCTGCTGTCCTTTGCTTTGAAAGAACCTGCTGTTGTGAACAAGCATGTATAAGCCATATATATATATATGTATGTATGTATAAGCCATATATATATATGAGTGATTACTACACACGGAAGGGTTGTTGGTTTTATAAACAGATTCAGGTGTTCCTTTAGGTAATACATTCCTGTATACTTGGACATGTCTTACTCAGATTTGCAACACGTTTGCATAAAGGGAGATGTTTATACCCTAGTCAAAAGCATGACATACACCATCCCTGCTATGTATTGCTTACTTTTATTCTTTTTTTTTTCTTTTTGGGTCACACCCGGCAATGCACAGGGGTTACTCCTGGCTCTGCGCTCAGGAATTACCCCTGGCGGTGCTCAGAGGACTATACAGGATGCTGGGAATCAAACTCGGTTTGGCCATGTGCAAGGCAAATGCCCTACCTGCTGTGCTATTGCTCCAGCCCCTATTCATTTTTAATTATAATTTTGTTGTTATTTTCGGGAGCCTCCTAATTAGGACCCAGGGGGCCACTTTCCTGCGGATACAGTGCTGTTCAGGCCACGCACGAGCAGGGGCTATCAGAACTCAGCAGTGCTAGGGGCCTCCAGGGCTACACTCAGTTGCTCAGGGGGCCATGTTCGATTCATGGGATGGAACCCAGGCAAGGCATATACCTTAAGATATGCACCTTAACTCCTATGTTATCTTTCTGGCCATTAATAATATTTTAACATTAATAGTTATGTGCCAGACACCATGCTAAGCACTTTGTTGGATAAAATAACCCTAATAAGTAGAAACAGTTATTTTCATTTATAGGAAGAAATGGACTCAGAGATAGTCAGAAATTTACTCAGACACAGACCAATTTCATGTCAAATTCATGTCAAAAGCTAGTGCTTGTCTATGTATTTCATTTATCCCTTTAAGAGCTATTTATTGAACACCTACTCTGTATCAGAAATGTGTTAGGTATTGGGGATGCACTGAGGCCAATGCAGACACAACCCTGTTTATCTGTTGCTTTCTTTTTTTTTTTTAAGGGGATGGATCACACTCAGCTGCATTGAGGGATCACTCTTGGGGTGCTTGGAGGACCATACGTGGTCAAACCTAGGATCAAACTGAGGATCACACCTAGGTTGGCTATGTGCAAAACAAATGCTTTACCTACTATGCAGTCACTCCAATCCCCACCTGTTGGTTCTATATATTTATCAAGAGTCAGACAATAAATTAGAAGTCATTTGGGGGGGGAGGGGCGCCACACCCAGCAGTGCTCAGGGGATACTGCTGGCTCTGCACTTAGGAATTACTCCTGGCAGTGTTCAGGGGACTATATGAAATGCTGAGGGTCAAACCCAGGTCAGCCACATGCAAGGCAAATGCCCTATATGCTGTGCTATTTTCCAGCTCCTACAAATTAAATATTAATTGCAATGTGGTACATGGCAATGGAGGACGATAGAGGGTGCTATTAGAATATGTAGTGACTTCATTTGTCAGGGAGGAGGTGAGGCAAGACATGGAAGATAGTGTTTAGCTGAGTCCTTAAGAACTGGATTGGAGGTGCTGGAGTGATGGTACAGAGGGTAGGGCATTTGCCTTGCACACGGCTGACCCGGGGTTCGATTCCCAGCATCCCATGTGGTCCCCTGAGCACCACCAGGAGTAATTCCTGAGTGCAGAGCCAGGAATAAACCCTGTGTATCGCCAGGTGTGACCTGAAAAGAAAAAAAAAAGTGAATTGGAGTTGAATTGGGCAAAGAGAAGGATGCAGAGCTACCAAAAAGGGGAGGACACATGAGAAGCCTTGAGGAGAGGAGGGACTTGTGTCTTGTAGTTACTGAAAGTCCTCTGTGATCAGTTTGCAGAATTCTGTGAAATCAGATGCAAAGTGCAGATAGCAGTCTTATACTGAGAATCGCTCTGCTCTCCAGTCTTATTTATTTGCTTCACAGAGCCCATAATGAAACAGTTTCTATTTTTCAACTTTGTCTTAGAATCTGTCTTTCTCCTTTAAACATGTGGCTAGACCTCTGTCCACAAGCTGGGGGGTGGTAGTGAGAGGAGGAATAAACGTGGGGCTTAATTGCCTTGGTAATTAGTATTGAAGAGCTAAATAAACATGGAATGCCATTATCATGTTTCACCATATTTGTCTCTGGTTTAAAAAATGATTTAATATACATTTTTTGAGCTCCACTACAGTGTACATCCTGTGTTAGTCATCTTGGATAAACATGCAGTTAAGATAATACGGTTAATTTGTCAACAGTATTTACTGTATATTTCTTTTGATTTACTATATGCTGGACTCGAACCACAGGGTCGGCCATGTGCAGGCACTTGCCCTACCTGCTCCTGTCTCTGAAGACGATTTTTTTTTAAAGTGAGTTCATGTTGTACATGGTTAGAATGATCTCAGGTGATCAGATCTAGCACATGATTTTTTAAAAATTGATTTGCCATTTTTTTTAATAATATTGCAAAGTTCTAGGACTTCATTGTCACACATCTCTATGTCATTTTTACCTCTGTGATCACCAAAGTTTCAGTGCCATCCCATCACCAAAAAAACCCTTAGACTCATAATTTCTTCTACATTGGTTTTAGGAAGTGTCACTAGTAGATTTAGATCCTGCTGGTTTCCAGCCACAATTCTTTTTTTAGTTTGTTTGATTTTTGTTTGTTCTTTGGGCCACATCTAGTGATACTCAGGGCTTATCCTGGCTCTGAATTCAGGGATTAGTCCTGGCAGGAGCTCAGCAATTTAGTGGGGATACTTGGATTGAACCTGGGTTAACCACATGCAATGCAAGCTTCTTACTCTCTGTACTATCTCTCTGGTTCCTTTTTTTTTTCTTTTAAAAAACCCCTTCCTTTCAGTCACTTATTTATTTTTTTTTTGGGGGGTGCTGCTGTTGTTGATGACTGGAACACACACACACGCATACACAGAAACACACAAACATGGTTGTACTCACTGGGTGTCAAATACACTTTTAGTTGCAGTGCTCAAACACACTGGGCTATTTGGCTGCAGACAGTCTGCTGGGTACTCGGGCCTCAGTTGCTCTGGGAGTAGGGTGGCGTCTTGAGCAGCACAGACTCATGGGGATTGAACTTGCAGCCTCATGGAATGCAAGTGCTTTGCTACTTGATTTCTTAGGCAAAACTCGATTCTGGTAGTTAACTCTTTCAGAACGTATTTTCCACCTTGATGTCAGTAATGTCATTTCTGAATCCTACCCACTTATACACCTATGAAACCATTGTTCGGTAGGTAATGTTATGATTTTAATGCAGAAATGAACTCACCATTAATCTATCCTGGAAGAACATAAACATGGAGATGAAAACTGAGATTGAAACGCATATAAATTTAGCTTGGAAGTTTTTTACCACCCACTAAGGTAGGACATTCAATAAATTCCTTTGCATTCTAACTTAGTTCTCTTTCTCATCTTAAGTTGTCAGTAATCAAAGCTACTAAATTGTGTAGTGGAGGAAGGATTTGCAGGTATAGCTGAACCGATTGACTATTGCTTTCTAGAAGTTTGATCTTGCTTGCTGTAGTTTACTTTTACTTTATTAAGTTAGGTCACGGAATACTGAATTTTGAAGGGAGATATACAACTTTTTTCCAGATTAATGTAGGCAGTATCAAGCAGACATTAAATGGAAATTATATTTTTGAATTGATATTATTTCAAAATAATCTGAGTATGGTGTTATAGTCCCTAGTGATAGAGAGTATTAGTGAAATGGAATCAAGGTTCTTGTACTGAGTTCTTTTTAAGCAATTAGCTCATTTACAATCAGTTACTACATTCTATATGCAGTTGTTTGTTTTCTATCTAGATTATTGGAGCTGAGTTTAGGACTTTATTCATTTAAATAATATTAGAATCATTCCTATTTAAGGTTCCAGCTAAAGGATTAAAAATCTCTTTCCACAACCCTCACTTTGATGCACTTGAGAGTTAAAAGTATGTGAACTTTAGCGGACTCTTGCTATTTGCTGGCTATAGACTTCAGGTCTGTTTCTCACAGCAAATAGAAATAACTCATGTACCTCAGATTCACTGTGAGGATCAAATGAGGTCCTGCAGAGAAAGTATGACTTCAGTATATAGCATATAGCAAACACTAAAATAGTTAATATTTTTCTATAATACTATATGTAGTAATATTTTTAGTTACTTTTACTCTAGAAAACAGGTTTTGTTTGTTTGCTTTTTAGTTTTTGGCTTCCCAAATGACAATAGCCTCTCTGTGCAGTCCTGATGGGTCAGTGCCTTGCCTGGTGATACAGTACTGCCAAGGCCACTAGGTCTGCACCAGTGCTGGGGGCTATGCAGTGCCAGCATTGGAATTCAGAGCCTCGTGCATGCCAGGCATCTTCTCTAGCCCTTTGAGCTATTTTCCTTGCTCCATGACACTGGTTTTTATTGCATTCTGTAACATTATAAAAGCAACTGGAAAGAGTTGCTTTTTTTTCCTATTAGCCTTTTACAGAGCGAACCTATTTTCTCTCATCTTCATTTGGAGATTTACAAATTATAATGGACAAATAGTGGTTCTTATATTCCTATGTGTGCTTTCACATACCCAGGGGAACAGGATTACCCTACTCTGGCACCCTATAGTCATCTGCATGGACGAAAGTGACTGTTCAATCCTATCTGTCCACCTGGTCCCATTTAAGAGAAGAAAAATACTGAGAATTGGGGGCTGGAGAGATAGCACAGAGGGTAGGGCGTTTGTTTGCCTTGCACGTGGCTGACCTGGGTTCAATTTCCAACATCCCATATGGTCCCCTGAGCACTGCCAGGAGTGCAGAGCCAGGAGTAACCCCTGTGCATCACCGGGTGGACCCAAAAAAGCAAAAAAAAAAAAAAAAAAAAAAAAAAAGAAAAGAAAAAAGAAAAATACTGAGAATCACTGAAGTTCCAGTGGCGTAGGCTCAGCAAGAAGACATTAGTGCTAATCACAGAACTATAGAATGCTTCCCTTGCACCTGTATTACTAAAGGCCTGTTTACTGCAGTTGTATTTAACTAGTACATCCTGTCCTTTAACAAAATGTTACAAAGGCATAAGAAAAGGCTCGAAAAACCTTTGGAAAAGCCTGAACACATATCAGAACCAGAGTCAGTTATATAGAAAGTTAGAATTAACAGACCAGGATTTTAATTAATATTGTAAAGAGTTTAAGGGAAAAATAGATAGGAAGAACTGATGGATAAGGTAATCAGAGCAATGAAAAATTTAGAAAGAATAAAGATTAGAAGAGATAAAGAACGGAAATGATGAATGCTTTTGATGAACTGCTCATTATATTAAGTGTGACAAAGGAAAGAATCTTTGAACTTGAACATATTAAAATAAAAGTACCCAAAACTGAAAGCAAAAAGACAGAACAGGACTACAAAAGAAGTAATACCTGGGGCTGGAGTGATAGCACAGTGGGTAGGGTGTTTGCCTTGCATGCAGCCCGACCTGGGTTCGATTCCCAGCATCCTGTATGATCCCCTGAGCATGGCCAGGAGTAATTCCTGAGTACATGAACCAGGAGTAACCCCTGTGCATCACTGGGTGTGACCCGAAAAGCAAAAAAAAAAAAAAAAAAGTAATAACAGAACAGAAGCAATATTTAGAGCAATAAAGGTTGACAGTGTCTTCAGATTACTCTGAGACACTTAACTACAGATCTGGGACACTTAGAGAACACCAAAGAAGATAAACAAAATAGCATGAAGAAACTACACAGGTACACCATACTAAAACTTCAGAAAATGAAAAGTAGAGAAAAAAATCCTGAAAGAAGCTGAAAGAAAACACCACCTTACCTGTAGATGAACAAAGGTAATAACATATGTCTGAACTGAGAAACAGTATAAGAAAAAATGAGTATAGTAAACTGTAGTGTTGAAAGAAAAAATCCTGGGCCAAAGCAGTAGTACAGTGGTTAGGGTGCTTGCTTTGCATCTGGCACTCCATGTGATCCATCAAGCCCGCCAGGAGTGGTCCCTGAGTGCAGAGCCAGGAGTAAGCACTGAGCATCGCTGGTTGTGGCCCATACCCCATCAAAAAGAAAAAAGGAGAAAAAAATAGAGAAAATTCTACCAACCAAGAATTCCCCCTTTGCCTTTCTTTTTTAATAACAAGCTCCCTCTCTTTATCCATTAGTTTTATTCTCTACCACTTGCCCTCTTGCCTTCATTATTATCGTTTTTGATGACTGTGAGTTGAAGCATATGCTTGGTTATGGTGCTGGCACATTTTTATCTGTGGTGTTTGCTGAGAGGTTGCACATCTGGCTTTTGTGTTTGTGCACTTGGCTGTAGTGCTCAGCCAAGTTTACACTCCTTTAGTTGTGGTACTTAAACATGTATTGCAAGCGCATTTGTTTGAGATTCGTAAGTTATGATTGTGGTGCTCTCCAAGACTTGCTGCCATACGCACACAAGGACTTAAGGGGGTCCATACTCCAAGAATATATAATATTCCTTAATGTATATGTACCTAACATCTAAGTATCATGATACGTCACGTGACATAAGGACTGATAGAAACACACACACACACACACACACACACACAACCATGAGTCATACACCTGTCAGAAATGAACATACCAAATAAGCAGAAAACCAGTTAAGACATGATTGAATTCAACATCACCATTAGTCAACTGGATATAGACTGCTTCATTCAACAGTAGCAGATTACATGTTCTCAAATCTCAAACCTTTGCAGGACTTACCCAGATAGATCATTTTCTTTTCTTCCCTTGAGCATTGCCAGGAGTGATTCCTGAGCACAGACCAAGGTAAGCCCTGAGCACACCACTAGGTGTGACACAGAAGCGAACAAACAAAAATTTTAATAAAAAATAAATGAACTACTCTGCAAATAAACACAATTGCTGTTAGTTGCCCAAAATAAATAAATAAATAAATAAATGAGTTGTCACAAAAGTGGCGTTTTCAGGGAAATTGACAGCATTTAATGCATATGTTAGAAAAGAAAAATTGGCGTTGGAGTGATAGTCCAGCAGATAGGGTGTAAGGAGTAAGACCTGAGCACCATTGAGTGTGGTCTAAAAACCAATAAGTGAAAAAAAAAAGAAGTAAAAGCTCTAAAACCAGTCATTTAAACCTCCACTGTAGGACACTGGAATAGGGCTAGAATGATAGTAAAGTGGGGAGGGTGCTTGCCTTGCATTCAGCTGACCTAAATTCAATCCCTGTCATCCCATATGGTCCCCTGAGCACTGCCAGGAGTAATTCTTGAGTACAGATCCAGGAGTAACCCCTGGGCACCTCTGGGTGTCCCTCAGAAACCAAAACCAAACAAAAACTGACTTTAAAAAAACCTTAGGGGCTGGAGAGATAGCACCGCGGGTAGGCGGTAGGGCATTTGCCTTGCATGCGGCCAACCCGGGTTCGATTCCCAGCATCCCATATGGTCCCCTGAGCACTGCCAGGAGTAACTCCTCAGTGCAGAGCCAGAAGTAACCCCTGTGCATCGCCAGGTGTGAACCAAAAAGCAAAACAAACAAACAAACAAACAAACAAAAAACCCTTAGAAGATACTCAAGGAGAATATATACAAAGAACCCTTAAAACTCCTAAATAAAAAAAGTGAACAATTTGGTTTAAATATGAACAGAAGACACCTCAACGAAGAAGATATACAAATAGCAACTAAGCATATAAAAAAGAGGTTCAACATCATGTGTCTCTAGATAGTTGCAAATTAAAACAATGGAGAGATACATACATATAGGATTGCCAAAATCTAAAACATGGACAAAGTAAATATCTATGCAGACATGGAACACAGGAATTCTCTTTCATTGCTGGCTGAAATGTTAAATGTTACAGTCACTTTGGGAGGGATTTTTGCCGATCTCTTAAAACATCAAACTCTTGCCAGATGATTTAGTAATTGCTTTCCTTGTATTTACCCATAAATAAATGGAATTTTATGTCCACATAAGAGCCTGCAAACAGATATTAGCAAGTTTTTTAAATTTCCAAACCTTGGAAGCAACCAAATATCAATAAGTGAATGCTATTTTGGTTGCTTCAAGAGTGTGTGTGTTTGTGAATCTCATTTAGTAAAATAATTGAAGAATGGTGACCACAGATAATGGAGTTACATATTTTTTGTTTGTTTTTATTTTTGAGCCACACCCAGGAGTGTTCAGGGCTTATTCCTGGCTCTTTGCTAAGGAATCACTCCTAGTGGGGTTCAGGGCACCACATGGGGTGCTGGGATTAAATTCAGGTCATTCATATGCAAAACAAATGCCTTTGTGTTTGTACTGTTTCTCCAGCCCCAAGAATTATATTAAAATGTATTGACCCAGAATTCTGTATCTAAAACCATCCTCTGAAAAATGA